CTTTTCCGCAATTAGATGATTTTTAAAAAATGTCAATTCCAAAGTACTTGAGCAAGGTCCAATCGAAATTCTTTTTTAGAATGCGTCTTACGCATTACGCGATTAGAATGTCAAACGTCAACGCGAAAATATAGTTCATTAAAAAAGAAATAAAAACATTATCGAGGATATGAACGACCGAGAGTATTCCGATAACACTGAATTAATGCTGCCAAACACGACGGTGATGATAAACAATGTTACAGCGTTGCCCTAATTGCAGCGTTCTATAAGCGAGTGCATTGCATTGTTCTCACTAGTTGCAAAGTTTCCAAGATTTTCTTTCGTAAAAGCTGTCGTTTCCCGAATTTTTTTATTACTATATCGTTATCCATATTACCGTAACGCGGCAATTTAAATCGCGTCGCTGAATATGATGAAGCTTGAGGGACGTTTATTTTCTTATTTAACTTACAGACTATACATTTAGAAAGTTGTAGCAAAATATAAGAGAAAAGTTATAATACAAATTTTAGAAACTCACCCGTTAATTCCATTACTAAGCAGTCCGTTCTGCATGCTATTCTTCCCGCCTTCTACCATGATCGAAATTACGTTGTTCCACGCAGGTTCGACTTACTATACATACGACGCACAGCTGAAATTAAAAAAAAATATTAATGAGGGCACTAGAAGACCGCTATGTGTATCGATATAATCTCTGGAAGCAAGGATGTCTGTTGTAATTGCTATCGTGTAAAAAATTACTTATTCGACGTTGGTGAACACGTGCGCACTTGCGAGAGAATACAAACATCGAACAGGAAAAACCGATCTTGTAAAGATGAGTGTAATTCTAGATAATAAGAATAATTATACATATGCACGTGCAAAAGTTATGCAAATGTATTACAAAAAATCAATGCCTTTTTTGTTATATGATAATTATTCTTTTATTGCTGCGGTCAATAATTTACTTTTGATATAGTTAATAGCTACCATTTTTTTTTTAAGTCAAGCGATAAAATATCAAGTGCGTAAAAAAAGTAACATATTTTTTGACTTGGCGAGATTATTTAGTTGTGGAATTCAAGAAATGACATAATCATTTAGTTATTGTTCTGAACGTAAATGTGACATATGTATTATTCATCGACGTTAATCAATTTGTATCTTTGCTCTTCTCTGTTCTTTTCGATCGCTCACCGCGGTTTCTAATTATAGGAGTTACTTCACCAAGGTTGATGCAATTGACAGACGAAGTTCATGTTCAACACCGCAGACAGCGTCTTGCAAATATTGCGCGCACGCTGTACCTACCAGCGACATTCGCGAGAGCGATTGTGCTCGCGTGCAATTTAGTCTTCGTTTACGGATGATTACAGTGGAGTTCACGGGTACGGGTATGGGGAAACGCGGAGTGCGATCCCATTATCCAGCAATATTATACACCACGTAGCGGTTAATCATACACGTACCATAATAATCCTTTTTCTCGATCATTTCGTCGCTCTTGCTCTGCAGACAACCGAATGTCAGCGAATCACCGATAGACATTCACTGTGTTATCTCTTTAATGTTACGGATTTTCGAATTTCCTGTACCGACTCCAAACGATATTTGTAGCTTTCCGTGTTTTAGCATGTTTACATTATTCAATAATATTTAATATTAGCGTTCGCAATAACTTTGCTCGGAGAATCAGAAAGGAGATAAGAATTTTAATTTGCTGACATTACCGATTTTATATTAATTGCTTTTTTTTCATCTCGAAGATACACAGTTCTGCGACTCAAGGCGAAATAAGACGGAGGGATTTTCGAAGTTATAAATACCTTCGTGTGCTCCATTAAGATTCCTCTACTCGTGTGCGCGGCACGAGTATGCCGAAAACGCGGAAATATTATATTAGAAAAAAATTAGTAAAGAAAGAATGAGTGATATATATATATATATATATATATATATATCACTCATTCTTTCTTTTTTATATATATATATATATACAGGGCAACGTGCAATGCACGTGATTTCATAAATTACAGAAAATATTTCGAGCCGGCAGTTTATCTCGGCGTGGTACACACGTGCAACATACTCCGCGTCAGCGAAAAACGATAATCGCTACATAGATACCGTTGCAGCTGGCACGATATAATGGCCGAAACACGCTAGCGATGTACCGCATGCAACTTTCACACGCTCGTTAGAGTACGTTGCTCTTAACTAACTTTTATCTAGTTTCTAAACCTCAATAACGTCTTGAAAGCTACATACCTACATTTTTACATATAAGTCTCAATGATTTAGTCAATATTTTCCATTTACGCCGCACAAATTTCAATTGAGTGTGCTACGTAAATATCACTTTACAATTATACATTTAATTATTATACGTATCAAATTTATCAAATGTACTAAAGTACGCATGTTACACTTGTATATTTTTGCATATATTTCATACTAATTTCATTCTCTATATGTATTTCGCGTATACAATATACATTTCAACTTTGAAATAACAATACAGTTACCGCAACTGCAATACATCATTCTTCGCGAATAATGTCATCCCAATTTTATTCCAAACAATCATCAATTTACCCCTAGTCTCTCTGCGCTGCAGCAATTGATTAATGATCAATGAAACTATCAATAATAAGTTATTATTAGTGAAGCGCACAAATTATCTTGGGCGCGTCGTCGAAGTAATGAGGATTTAATAGTTACCCGAATATTGCCACGCGCAACTCCGCTCTTTGCGAGTTTGCCGGCTTGAGTTAATATCAGCCCTGTGGTCGGCCCTGCAAAGCCCAGTAGGCGAGGGAAACGAGGATAGATCTCGGATCCGGAGGACGGAGATCTGTCGCGGCGCGGCGGCACTCTCACGCGCGTGCTGTTTCGCGACGCGACATCGCACTAAAGCGCTCGGCGGATCGATCGCACGCCGGCTACGTCTTCTAATCGGACCTCGGCGTCCCCGTTTGCGGATCTCGCGCGCCGCGCGGATTGGTCGTCGATAAAAGCCTTCGGCCGCCAACAAACTTTGACACTCGCCGCTTCTCCCGAGCCCCACCAAGTCGCGAAAGGCGAACGCCGCGGCCCGTCCGTTCGCCATTCACGCACTGCGGCCTTTAATCGCGCGTGCTTGTATGGGTGCGTGACTCGGGCATGGCGGCGTACTTTGACAGCGAGTCAGCTGACCAACTGGAGCCAGATAGCATGACGCATGTGTGACGGATACTTGTGTGCGTTAGCTATACGGACTTGCGAGTCGATACGTACACAATTGAAATTGGACTTTGTTACCAGTCGTGCTAGGAGGCGGAAATTTTTTACGATTCTTCGGGATAAAGTTCATACGAAATTTAGATTATTTTCAAAGAATGACGTAGTTGCGACGATTATTTCGTTCGAGTTAATAAAACTTGTTATTTCTGACAATTTCTAAAGTGAATAAGATCATAATCATTTATGATATCTTGGTGTTGCTTTTATCAACTATCGGTGTGGTTGCTAACTGTTCGTCATTGAAGAACTTATAATGATTTCTATGAATATCAGACAAATCGAAAGTCAGATACGTCGTGAAAATATATATTTTTTTTAAATTTTTTTTTTTAATAAATAATTACAATCTAGCTCCCTAAATAAATGTTTTGAAAGCCTGTGAATATTACCGTTTAGCTCCGTTTAGCTAACAAGACTTATGAAGATTTCTGAACATTCTGTCACCATCTTGCGATTGCGGAACGAGACGCAATGGGTCTAGCTAAATTTAATTTGGGAATGTTTTGAGAATGCATCGAGCAAGCTGCTATTTTTAGCCCTTTCTATCTATCGGAAAATACGAGCAATTTTTGATATGTAGAAGGAATATAAGCATGTACATCATGAACTACAATAATTTATTGGTATGCTAAAAGTGGAAAGGCAACACAGCTACATACAAGAGTAAGAAAATTCCACTTCTCGTAGACACAAAATGGAACACGTGTATTTCCTTTTTATTACATTGTTTAAAAATTAAAAAGCAAAAAATGATGAATCGCAAGAACCAGTTGCAGTTCTTTTTTCTTGACTTCGTCGTCGTGCTGTCGTCAGAATGTCGAGATTTAATTTCGGCTGATCTCAAGTGCCACCAGTTTTCTCCATATAAGGCACGCGACGATTATTTCCTCCAGTTCAACGTAGTCTCCTGGCCTCTCGCTCGGATTCCAACAACGTCAGAATATCCCCCTCGCGTACGGGACCTTTGACATTCCTGATTAGCTGTCTATTTTGCTCGTTCAGAAATTCTACTTTGACCTGCGTGCACTGTCCTTGAGATCCGGTCCTGCCGAGGACCTTCACCACTCTCGCCCGCACTATTGGTTTCTCCATGCTCTGGATACGCGAGCCTTTATCTAACTATGCAATCGCGCACGTAGAAAACAGCTCTCGTGCGTGTCGCAATAATCGCAATGCTGCACTGAGCTACTAACTTAGACCACATGCGGATCAAATATCGTCTTGACAACGTTCCAAGAGAGAAAGATAAAATAAGCCAGATGAGGATGCTTCAAGAAAATTTGTAGAGTGCGCAGACTGCGCGTAAGAAAGTTTGTCGATCGAAAAATAATTATTTAAAACAATCTTTTATCTTTGAACAAGTTACCTTACTCGCAGTTATTTAAAATTACTCGGTTTTACTCAAGATTGATAATTAAGATTATAATCTATCAGCGTACCGCTGTTCAGCTTGATCCGTATCTACATCGGTACGTGCGCACGTGATTTCAACTCTGCTCTCTGGCGTCGTTACGAAGTCTGCGGCTCAGCCACGTCGTAAATATTTCTCGGTAAAACATTCAATCCTGTTATACAAGGTATTTCTGCGTCATTTCTACGCTTACCTCGTCCGGCAGCCACTTCGGTTAATCTTGAGGTCGACATTTTGTCGTTGGAAATTTAATTAAACGTCGATACGCAAACACACCTTGACGACACCTTTCACGCAAGGAAAAGATACTGCAACTCGCTCATCGATACAATCGTTTTATTCATTTGTGCTTCAGTACAAACGTGACGTCCCTCGATAAAATCAAGACATGCAAGTACATTAGCGCCGAGGTCTGGCGAGGTCCTTCCCTCCCGTTTCTCTTCCTCGTCTCATTCTCAAAAAGAGATCTCTTCTACGCCCGCGTCTCTTTGTACACACTCGCACGCGCGCCAATCACACGATGCATTCACATTCTTTCCGTCATATAAAATCACGGTAGTGGAAAAAGATTGCGGTCTTCGGTATGATGGTCGTGCGACGACGTTATATATTTTGTATATCGATGTATGCGTACGTGGGGGTATGTGACATGTGTGTATGTATGTGTGATGTGTGTGCGTTCGTGGACACGTCGTATAATCCTAGAAGCGACAAATGGATTTGAATGGATTCTTACGCTTGTGCCCTCCTGTGCATTTTGCGCCCCCCTCTCGTTCTGCGAGCGGAATCGTCACGGATTTTACGATGAAGAAATTTCGCGCGATTGGCGATAACGCTCGGTGAAGTCTTGAACACAGAGCGCGTGGTATAATGTATGATCGAGTACGATCGACTGGATCGTTGCTCCTATCCCCTTTCCGCGACTCGCTGATCTCTAGGAGCGCGACTTGCGCGATGTCGTAGAGGAGGCAGCTGTCAGGTGACAAGCGGGAAATTATATCACAATCGAGCATGATCGGGATTAACCGCTAATTACCAAAAGAGACGATCGCTACGTCGGCCGCGTACTGCACGTTCAGATCTCGATTGTATGATGGATGAGTAAAATCGAGAGAAATTTACAGTATATACTCTGTAATATTGCTATATGAAGATAGTACGTGCGCTTCTTTTGAGATAAAACTTTCCAAAGCAGCATATCGAGGTCTGAACGCGTTAACATCAGTTATATCAGTTTAACAATGTATATCACGCGTGTGCATGTGAATCTATCATTTCGGATATTTACAAATGCCACTGTAAACACAAACTCTTAATCACGGCGGATAAAACTTCTTTTTATATCTAACAATAAGTATGTCATGTAACATCTTCTTCTTCTTTTGGTTAACATCAGGTCATTGGCAGCATAACGTAATAATACAGAAGGCTAATTAACCAGCATGTTTTTGGCATGATATATGCATAACCCAGTCATTTAATTGTCAATTCAGCAAATCAGAAATCAAGTTTTATACATAAAAAAAACACATAATAATTTAATAAAACAGTGAATTTTCGTTTTAAAATTGCCTTTCTTCTCTTGTCATTCGTGACGTTATCTTCACAATTACGCCTTTCAACGAGTAATAAGTACAAATATAATCAATTAAAATTGTAAGACACAGCTCTAAAAATATAGAAATTTATCTTTCGCCTCGCAGATTAAAATGCATATACCTTTCTCTTAATACATCCAATATTAAAATTATATGACGTGAAAAGCAGGCGTGCAAATACTTTAGCGAAAAAAGACATTTGATTTCACTTCAGCGCTGCAAAAATATATTTTATACAGCCAGATTTCTAAAAATCTCGATAACATTTCCAGAGATATATATATATATATATTTTTTTTTTCAAAGATATACATATATTCATCAACTTCAACAGTTTTTGAAATGAGATAAAATGGTAATCATTATATATGAATTGTAATTATAAATTCTTTAAAAATTAATATCTTATATCACCTAAAAATTGTTCTAAATTCATTGTTACATGGCAAAAAAGAGAAAACATTGTACAGTTAAGATAACGCATTGATAATTTCGTGTGATAACTACTGACTCTTCAAGGATTATCATGACATTATCTTGACTTTTGCAATATATTCGTAAGTAAACCCAAATATTTAAACTTAAATATTTTTACGATATTCCCATGCAATCTCGGTTTACGATAATCTATAATAGTAAAGTAAATAAATGTATATGTAAAATGAAATAAAATTAATATCAAAATATAAATACTGTTTATCACTTATGCATGCAGATACAAACGTAATCTTGCTAATTGTCTACAAAAAAAATATTACCGTTACCAACGAATACGATGTATACTCCTAATAAAAAATATCGCGCGAAAGAGAGATTATATATAAGGTAAAATATATGAAATTATAACTTTTATGATAGACTCTATTGCCTTGTCATTCTGCCATTGTTCGCTTATTAATACAGATAAAAAAGGACACATTATTACTATTTACACCTGTAGCTTTGTACGTGACACATACAAAAATAATATCATAACTAATTCTTTAATTGTTAGAAATAAAACTCGCCCTTACTTGTGAAATCAACACCTATTGCGTATAAATCGCCTCTCCCCGTATTAATATCTTTTCGTTGATTACGGCCGCCCGATTAATATTAATAATGTTTACAACGAGTCGCCATTGCGTGCAAAATAAATTGAGAATATCTACGATACAAGTTTTTAATCATTGCCGCCTCCGTCAATCGTTGAATAAATAAATCCGAAAACATATACTCGTGCTTAGGCCGCGAATCGCATTATTAAAAAATGAAGAAACGTATTCATTGACGCACAATCTATCTCATCTTTCGCTTTATACAGCTATACAATTACAACTTCCATCGTTCGAATATTTTTTTTTATGTACTACAATAAGTGTAACAACACTTAGTACTCGCACTTAGAAGCAACGCTCAGGCAGCTAGTGATTGGTCAAGTGTGAGCTTTTTACAATAAACACATTCTCGTCCTCCATCCTTTCCTCCTTTATAATTATTGTTAACTATTAGGTAAATCGTTGACGAAGTTACGATATGAAGAAAGAGCGATTACGTGATTATGTGAGACGTGTCGACTTCTACTGTCTCGTTGATAAAACGCCATTCATGAACGAGCCAGCGTTGCTGTCGGTGTTCGCGAATTCCTGTTCAAGAGCACTATTACGACCGTAAATATAATGCGATTCGTTCACCACCCGAAATACACCCGTTGCAGTTATAATTGAATCGTGGCGAACTATGAGTGTATAATATAAGATGGGAATAATGAAAGACTTTTGTGTTTTAACGATTCCGCGCGTGGTTCTACCCTGCCGACCTATATAGAAATTACTATTTTGTTCGCGTTCGCGCGCACGTTGGAGGGACACGGAGTCTCAAATTGGGCCTAAGGCTCCTGGCGAGTTCGTAGTAATTGGCTATAAACGTTCGCGGTTTCTTACTTCGATACCGGGTGACCCGACGTATATTTGCCGTCGCGAATCGGCCTACAGTTGTTAATGCGCGATTGAAGGTAGTCTAACACCTGCCTCTCTGGACTACTTAATCGCCTATATCCTTAAACGCCTATCTAAAGAATACGATTCGTTTTTTTTTTTATCAGATTCGAGTTCTCGTCGCGGTAACTTCTGGTAGCTACTTTACTTACTCGAACTAACGAAGATTAGAGTGTCCTCTTTTGCCGACAGGCAGAGATCATTCGATTTTGGTACCGCAAAACATCACTACGATCAATAATAATTAAGCACCCTTCGAAGCGTTAATGCTACACGATTGAAATTAATAAAAAATATTATACTTTAATAGAGAGAAAGAGAGACGGAAAATAAAATAAAGATCTTGCGATCACCAATGACTTAAAATCACGTATCAAAGTTCGCATGTCACGCGATTATTTGAATTAAAGACGAGTTACATTTCAATTTGAAGTCCCTATTTGAAGCGTGTATCCTTTTTCGTAGATATACCCCTTTCGCACAACGAGCTTCGTCGCTGGCGTTAATTAACATGACAGTTCTAATCTCTTCTCCAATTTCGAGATCGAAATAATCTCGATTCTCTTTCTCGTCGTTGGTACCTCTCGTATTCACGAAAGTATGATCTTCTGATGATATCCAGATCGTGGTTTATGACGGTCGTATAGAATCGTGATGTGATCGATTATTGTCTGTCCTGGAGACTCCTGTCGGAGTGAGTTTTAACGAAGGGATCGTAGCTTGAGCTTCAGCACGAAGTAAACGACCACTCGGAGAACGAGCAGAAAGCCGAGCAGAGCGACGACGTCCACCCAGTAGACCGCGTTCTCCATGGCCATCTGTTCGAGGAACTTCGTCGGACTCTTGAAGTGGCAGTAGTACTCGGAACACTTGAGTTTCGCCCGATTGTAGCCGTACACGGAGATCATGGCGCCCTCGAAGCCGTATCTCACGTAGCTCACGTACGAGAGGAACTTTAGGTACTTTGGTACGGCATTGAAGTTAACGAAGAAGCCGGAGAACAGGATGATCGGCACCGACATCACGGGTCCGATGAACACTCCGCTCTGCGAACATGATAATATCAACGGGATTAAATTACGGGAGGGAAAGATAGGAGGAAACGGGAAATCGGTCGTTTTCATTTTTTTTATATTTATGTATAGTAATAAGAAAGATCGTTCTTGCGGATATAATTTGTCGATCACCGGCATTACCTCCACGCTCATTGCTGCTCCTATCAGCAGACCGATGGATTGCGCGACCAGCGATGTCAGTATGCATATATTTAGGTACATAAGAAAACGCTCCACCTCCAACGGCTGCGACGTAATGAAGTACACGATCATTACGTATGCTATGGAGTACACCATCTGCAATGATTTACCATCGCGTGAGTCACCTCGATGTGTCTGGCTCTAATTGAACAAACGGAGATAACGTAAATTGCACTCACTTGGAACGGCAGGTCCGCCAACGTTCTCGCGAGGTAAAAAGCTTTCACCGAGTACCAGTAGTTCAGGTGCTCCCTCACAAATACGGACATTTCCGTCGGAACTGCGATAAAAGTGCGACACGGTGACAACGAAAGTTCCGAGTTTTCGCGAATACATTTTCGAATAAATATACCTGAATGAATCACTTACAAGTTAATATCGTAGGCATCATGGCGGTGAACATGAGAAACATCACCGTGAAGAAGACGCATCCAGCATTACTCATGACCTCCGAGGCCTCGTTGCCGATGTCGTAATAAATTGCGCCGATCAGGAAGCCGACGATTATATGTGAGATCAGTCTTACCCTTGTTAGCGTCTAGAAAAGCGGACACGGCGACATAAAATCAGATATCTTACAGTATAGACGTTATCGATAGGAAGTTTTCCGTTAAACGACATATCTTGTTTTGTGATAAAAAAAATTATACCGTATCTATTCCATATTATATAACTACATAATACAATTATTTGCGCAATTTTTAACATCAATTATAGAAAAATATTTAAAAAGGAATATTTCGCGAATTATGTATAAGTACATTGTATCTTACCATATCTCGCATCTGCGACAAGAAGGTCCTCTTGAGCAATATCCAGAATTGCAGCCAACCGTTCGTCGGGAAACCGACCTTTTGCTCTATGCTCTCCACGCTGTCCAGCAACGACGTCGTGCAGGAAACCGGCATGTTGATCATCGTCGCGCCGGTCGGCGGCTTCGCGACTCCGTTCGGTATCAGTGCGGTATCGCCCTCCGGTTTCGTCTGCTCCTGCGGCGACTCCTTGGCGATGTCGTTCGACAACGTCTGCGCCGCGGCGATGGCCGCCTGGTGTGACTGATAGTTGTTGCACTTGCCGTTGTTCACAGCCATCACGAGCTTGTGAACGCACTCGCCGTGCTCCCCGCAAGCGACCTCCATCACTGAACCGTTAAGATTTTGTTAACGCACCGCGAAAGAAGAGTTTGACGATGATATATTCACTTTGTGAAATATTCGAAATCTCAATCAGATTGAAATTAATCTTATCCTGAATCAGGGCGAAAGAAATGGTGGTTTAAAATCTTTTGTATGTATAGAAGCGACAATTGGAATCTGGATCGATTAGGAAATTTCATCGAGTGTACTTGCCGTAATCCGCTGGATTATGGTAACTCGGACAATCGAGACCCATCGACGACAAGAAGGGCACTAGGCCACCGACGTTGCCCTGATATATACACTGGCCTTCGGCAAGTAGGTACAGATGATCGAACATCTCGAACAGTCGCGCGCTCGGTTGGTGGATCGTGCATATAATCGTCCTTCCTGCAAGAAGAGACACCAGCACGAGTCGGTAACGGACTTCCTTTTTCCGTTTACGAACGCGCGAAGAGATTCATTGGAAGAATCGCGTGGAAACTTTACCTCCTCTGCTTAGAGATTTGAGCAAACTTAGACACTGGAAACAAGCAGAGCTGTCCAAACCGGAGGTAGGCTCGTCGAAGAACATAACCGGGGGATTGTTGACAAGCTCCAACGCTATCGACAGCCTCTTCCTCTGGCCGCCGCTGAGGCTCTGGGTCTGCGTGTTGCTGGCTTCGCGTAGGCCAAGCGTCTCGATAATCTCCTCGATCTGCCGATTCGATTAAACCAGAAATTTAAAAAATTGTATTTTGTAAACGATGACAAGATTCGCGGTCTCCGCCGCGTGGAGAGACGTCGAGAGAAAAAAAAATCGTGTTTATCATACCACTACTTTCTTGGCAGTCGCACTGATGTCCTTCCCCAACTTCAAGTTCGCCGAGACGGTCATCGCCTCGTAAACGGTCAGGTGCGGCAGAAGTCGATCGTCCTGCATGATGTAGCAGGACATCTTACGAAACCTTCTGAGATTCCTGTCCTTTCCGTTTATCAGTACCGAACCGCTCAAGTGCGATGTTCTGGAAAAGAGATATCGGGAAACGATTACAATTATCGCTCAATATATTATCCTAATGCGCCGTTAATTTGCCAAAATAATCTTACTTGTAGCCTGCCAATACGTTCATAAGCGTGCTCTTTCCAGCGCCGGATGGTCCCATAATAGCCGTTAGCTCCCCAGATCTGAATTTCCCGTTCACGCATTTTAGAATGGTTTTGTATCCTGCAGCAACAAAGCGGAGGTAATAGAAGAGAAACGGAGAACACACAAGAAATGTATTCCTCTATATTCTAAAATATTTCATCCGCAGTGCGGATTATATCGCTGGAGATTCGTAAATCTTTTTAAAATTTAGAGGCTTCGGAAATTGTGAAACTTTCCAAGCATATAACGCTACGCATAAGGTGGCATTATAAAAGAGATATATTAAGTATGTACGATATTATCCAATTTTAATTTATGTGAAATAACCAGTGCATCCACAGCGAATACAAAAATAGATAAAACGTTATTTTATAATGAAAATCTAAACGCTCCAATTCTGGTGTAGTTGATTGCCAAAATTCTCGCTACGATCTTGCCAATGTCGTAACGTTCGCCAGATTATTATATACCTAGACGCAATTCAAATTGAATATCCCTCGGACAGACAAAACCCCTGGCTGACCTCTTTATCGCTAGTGCAACTGCACCGCGGTGCACGGACGATGCAACTGCGCCGAAACGGCTACCTGCCCGTGCGTTTCTATCGATTTTTTCGGTCAGGTCGTTCACACACGTTGTGATGGAACGAAAAAGCCTACCCGATGGGTACCTAGCATATTCGATTCGCCACTCCAACCCGATCGCTCTAACATCTTGAATTATCCACGTCTTCGTTCCAACGTGCCGTTATTGAATCGATAGCGGCGCGCGGCGTCGAAAATACATCACACGCCAATAATGCGTTATTCCGAGGCATAAGCAGTTGACTTGATTAAAGTCAGATGGATCGCTCCGCTCGTCGGATCTCAATTTCTTTTTTACTTCCATTCTCGCGATAACGATCGCGCGCCTTGTGATAATGACTTCGCTTCGCGCGCCGCTAGAACGCTATTGGACTTTCTCTCCGGAATCGGACGTGCAGTAATTACAATTTACTGCTCTTCTTCGAGAGACTCACCTCTCTTTCTGCCTTCGGACACGCTGTAGGCCAGGTTCTTGAACTCCACGTCGACCGGTGGCCTCTTCGGGAGATGCGTCAATGATACCGCCGGCCTCTTATTGCTCTGACCCGGGCTGGCGCCGCTGTGGTTCGGCACCTTCCTGGCCAGAACACCGCCGGTGCATACCGCAGCCGCAGCCTGCCCGTTCGACGTGGTGCCGTTGCAACTGCAGTGGAGATTGTTCTGTGAGCCTCTGTAACAATGAAACGTTTTCGCCCGGTCGTTAGCTTCGCCAGGTTGTCGAGGTTGCCGACAGCTGAATGTCTGCATTCAACTCGATAACGCACGAGCTTAGCGTAGCTCTATAAAATCGCAGACATTTTTTTTTACATGTCTTTGCGTGACAAAATAAATTTCAGACGCATTGTACGATGACTAGCCTATGTATTGTGCTTCTCGTCTCCTACTTGAGAAATGCGAGCCGCACACGTTAAAATTAAATAGCTGTAACCTCGCCACGCTGAATGCGGACGGTAAACGGCAGGGTTGCGAATGCGCGTTGATTTATTCGGAATTAAGGAGATTTTAAGAGTATATGCGTAGAATCTTAGTTAACTGAAAAATGGGTTCGTCTTGAATGCACAATACCGGATAAAGCGACGATTGGATATTAAACTCGTCTCCTTCAACATTTAATGACGTTTTGATGCAATTCGCGTTCATTTTGCGCGTATTATGCCGATGCCATTAATTAATCCATTGAGTAATGAAACCGATTGTCTTGGGAAACATAGAGCATTATTGAACGTTAGATGCAGCATTGTAGAGGACACCGAATATTTAGTTCATGGTCGTTTTCAGATTCGAGGAACAATGGGAAACGAATGCGATGTCCCCTTCTATTAAATTTTATTCTTATTAAATTTTATTTTTTGATTTACTGTAACTTGCAAGTGTAATAGGGAAAATTTATTGCCTTGTATGTCCCGATGAGCATAAAATACGGCATTGAATTTAATTATCGGTATTACAAACGCGTATAATAGAAGAAATTCAGTTCTCCTCGGAGAGTCGTTTCTCTTTTATTTGCATCCATGTACCGCCACGGTGCGTCATTACACCTCGTGGCTAATAACGATTCTGCGTGCGCTCTACGTTTCCCGGTTGCAAACGTAGATTTTCTGCAATTTCTGCCGCGGTTATGGCCGCGTGAAAGTTTATTATTTTCTAATGTTAAAGTAAGAAAAAAATGTGAGCGAGACCAGTGCGATTTTTACTGCTTTATACGATCGTGTTCAATCGAACGTGTCACGCCGCTGGCGCTGCATCGATAGGACATAAATATTTCTGTGACCGCACATCTAACATTACCATTTAGATGGCTTCACTTAGATTTGCTTTTTTGCGAGAATCTCGGACTATAGTTTTTTTTTCATTCGGAATAATTTTCCCTCGGTTTTTTACTACTCGCCAAGCCTGCGATCAGTTTTATTGCGCGACTGATGTCGTCCGGCAATCACGTTCGTTGAAGAAAGATTTGTTCAAAGGAACGCAATAAAAGTGGTAAGTGCAGTTTGACATGGAGTAAGTAAATCCCGAGACAAAATTGCAGCAAAAGAACGTCGATATTAATTCGCAAAAAAGATCGGATGATTTGCGCTCGACGGACAGCACCAGTGAAAATAAACCCACTTATTCGCTGATTGTATAATCGGAATGTCTCGTAAAGATTTGGTGATCGAATAAAACCAACAGAACTTCACGCATTTATTTTGCCACCGGTGGATATTACTCACTTTCGAAAGCTTTACGTAGAGTTATGAAACGCATTTAAAAAAACTCGTCGACTTCGGCATTGAACTTAAACATCAACACGCATAAATTTAAAAGGACATAATGCTTTATTACTTTTTCATGCAAATTCTTTACTTTATTACTTTATTAAAAAATTCTTTAAATTGAATTTAAAAAATAACTTGATTTATAAATAATATAACTTGATTGTTAAATTACTAGTCTAGTCTAATTTTGTAACATGTAATGTTAATAATGTACTTAAAATTTATTTTCATTTATTACTTTGTAAAATTGCAGAAATATACGTCGATCTTGCAAATTTAATAAGTTTAGCAGAGAGTTTTTTCAAGACGCGTGTTTTTTGTATTTCTGCCGGGAAAAAAAGTTCCATATATAATTATATATAATTATATACAAAATATGTCCATATATGTTTCTTTCCTTTGTAAAATTATTCTTTAATACAAAATTGATAATAATAAGAAGGAAACATAAAAAATAATTAAAAGAATAATTTTAC